CCGATCGGTCGACATTGCGGATGACGTTAGTGACACTAAGAGCGACCTCGACATCCCCAAGGTTACCGGCGATCTGAATGGCAGTGCTGCCGCCGCCAACGGAGACGATGACGAAGACGAGGACGAGGACGATGATGACCTCGAGGCCGACGAGTGCGTGTCGCGCGACAGATAATACTGGGGGGACGCTGGCGCTAATGATGCCATAGATATGTCGTTGAGAAGATTCTAGATCACCAGGTCGGCGACGATGTATGCGCTCCTCCGCCCGCTGATTGCGCCCCCAAGCTGACTTGTGTTTAGGGATTGGTCAACTTCAGAGTAAAGTGGGAGGGCTACGAGAAGAAGGCGGATCAGACCTGGGAGCCAGAGGACTCGCTGAAGTACGTTACGTGCCGAGCGCATGCTGCGGTCGAAGCTTGTAGTTCTGATACTAACATACTTACAGGGAGGGCGCAGCCGAGATTCTGGAAGAGTACCTTAGAGCGATTGGTGGCCGCGAGGCACTCTTCGAGCAGAAGACCAAAGCCAAGACTACCAAGAAGCGCGGCCGCCCTGCTGCTTCATCCACGCCACCAGCAACCACCAAGAAGTCCAGACGCAACGGCCACCCGGCCGACTCGACCCCTCCCGCATCCGCAGTAGCCGCCGCGAAGGCCAAGCCGTGGACATTGCCCAGCGGCAGCTGGGAAGAGGATGTTGAGAGCATTGATGCATGCCAGGATGAGGTTTCGGGGGCGCTGGTCATCTACTTGAACTGGAAGAACGGCCAAAAGACGAAGCACCCCACCGAGGTGGTGTACAAGCGATGCCCGCAAAAGGTGAGTTCTCCTATTGTTTATTCAAGAGGGCAAACATTAATTGTGTCACAGATGCTACGCTTCTACGAGAAACACATCCGAATCGTCAAGTCAGAACCCGAGGCGGACGCTGATAACCATTTCCCCGAGAAGACTGCGCCAGAGGCTGAGATGTGAATCAATAAAAGGACGACATGTTGGGTTGTTTTACGTGGGAACGGCGTTCGGGCTGGTGGCATCCTTACCAGGAGGCTTTCATGGATTTCGGAATTGCTCTTTTCGATCAGTCTTGCGCATGGGTTTCTCAAAGGAATCCGCGTCAGACCCAACCTGTAAATAGGAACTGCGGTTTGCGGGAGACGGGTGCCCTGGGTCTTGAAGCGGGGCAGCGCGAGACGATGTGCGATAGGGATGTAGTGCCAGGGAAAATTTGATGCTTCACCTTGACCCGGTTGGCCTTGTTGGCGTGATGTCTGAATGTGGTGTAGCCTCCATCGTCACGTCTACACGAGCTAGCTCAAGGTCTTCAGGTCAAACCAGGAACGAGGCGCACTAGTTCGCAGACAAGACAAGTCTTGACTTCCAGGACTCACCCAATGCGCCGCCGCCAGTAGCCCCACGACAGCCGTGACTGTCGGTCTCAAGTTCATGAAGGGGAAGAGAGGATACAGGGCTGTCCAAAGCGGATGTCGCCGTCAGACGCAGGAACCAGGACAGGAACCAGACCGCAAAGGTAGACCGCCACCAAAGGATTGCGGTGAGTGTACAAGTGCCCAGCCTGGGACGACGGGGGAAAACCTGCAGGATGCGGCACCCGCGAGGTTGGGTGCGTTGAAATCCCTGCCCGGGCGACCCACTAAAAGCAGCTTTAGACCCCTGTTTCGCGGGCGGTTGGGGTCGCGGTGTGGGTGGTGCTGGCGTTGCGTGGTCGCGGGTTTTCCAGCCTCTCCCATTTTATTGACTTCTCTGGGAAACCTGGTGGCGGGGCAACGCTGCCTTTTAACGCTGCGCTGCCCGACTGCATTCCACACGGGTTTTCCTGGATTTGCTTTCTCTCTTCCTTTTGGTATGCTGCACGAAAAGCCTCGATCTCGCGACTCGAAAATAAGTTTTTTTTCTTCGGCCCATTGAGATAGACAACTGTCGTTGTTCTACGGTCAACCCGCACCCCACGCCGTCCACCATCGGGGCCCATACTACGGAAGCCGCAAAAGTATCTTGTACACCGCGGGGAGCTAGCCAGACAGCTGCAGGCCATCAACCATTGGGTACGACCTCCTTCAGGAATTTTTTTCCCCTCGAGACAATTGACTAATTTTAAACTGCAGAGTTTTGGCCCAAAAACGACTTTTCTCAACGGCCAACGTTCTGAACTCAGCACGTCTCCCGAGACAAACAGACACATCACGCATTCCACGGCCCACGGCGACTCCGCTTCATCGGACCCGTCTGTCCGTCTTTTCTCCACCACCCCCGATCAAACTCTCCTCCTCCGCAGGTGTCTCCGTCAGCTTCGGGCTCGACGGAAGACCCTGATCCCCGGTCGCCGCAGCCATGGTCAAGCAAAACGACGTCATCGCGATCATCGTTATCGTGCTCTTCATCGTCCTCGCCGGTGTCGCGTTCGGCATCTACAGATTAGTCCACGTCGCCCGCCAGAGCATGAGCGTGACGTCTGGGTCGAGTAGCAGCAGCAGTGACGAGATTGTCGACGACTGATCTCGGCGGGTTCGTCGACTGCGTTGTGTTGCTGCTGCTACTTCACTGCAATATAGACGCATGCCCCAACGCAATACTGGGCGAGTCCATCTGGGTCGCTACTTTCATGTTGGGCACATGCATGATCTGATGAAGCAGTGAAGCAAACAAGAAAAATGATTTGGGATGAAAGATAATGAGGGTGAAAGGAAGGATATGCGACATGAAGTTTTACCGGCATTGGGCGTTTGATTTACAGCATTTTCCATATATTTGTCTTAGTTATTTATTACATGGGACGACAAGATATCTACGAGTGTATGATATACAAAGAAGCTAGGATTGGGACCTGACGGGCTCGTTGCGGAGGATGAACGAATCTATGGAGACACGAGAGCCCCATGTACATAGAATGAATCACGCCCTCGAAGGCGGATCAAGAGTTATTAGAATACTCTGAAATACTTTTACAGTTGAACAGTTCAGGAACATATCGATACGTGGAGGTAAATCAGTGCCAGGCAGTAGTTGTTCAGTCCACGAGCATGTGTCACTCTGTCAGCAATTCTTTGCGGTTTACTGTATAAGACACCTTCTGGTGATGGTTGTCTCTCCGATCAAGTTCACATTACTGCACCCAGAAAGCTCTAGAATGTCGCCAACCAAAGACTCAAGCCCGACCACGGTCGAGGCGGTCAACCACAACACCGCCAAGGCTCTCGACATCGTCAACGAACTCTGCAAAGAAGTCGACCACCTCGAGCGCACCTCACGCACGAGGGAGAAGCTGGAGCCTCTAAAGTACCACTCCGGCCTCCAGGCCGTCCTCCTGCTCCTGCACTACGAGCTCCACGAGAAGCTCCGCGCCCGCACCGACGCCCTCCACGCCCTGGCCAAGGCCCAGAAGGCGCTCGACGTGATGATCTGCGACATTGACGCCAACACCTTCGCCGCGCTCATGCTCGAAGACTTCCCTAGCGCAGACCTGCACGAGGAGGGGCAGCGCGAGGTCGCACGATGGGCGAAGCAGAGCCGCGACATTGACGCCCGGATGGCGCGAATGGAGAGGGAGAATGAGGACCTCCGGCGCAAGATCGGTCGTGTTGCGGCTGTCATTGGAGATCCTCGTGTCATTGACGAGGCGTTGGTGATTGACGGCGTCAAGTGCTGTCTTCTCGGTCGAGCGCCAGGAGCCACTAAGGAAGAGAACCAGAAGGGGTACGACGGGCCCAAGGCGACGTCTCTGGAAGAGGTGAAGAGAGCTTTGGATAAGGCAAATGAGCTGTTTCTGGAGCGCCAGGATGCCTACGAGAAGTCGCGGGACAGCGGCGAGAAAGAAGATGAGGTGACTGGAAATGCTGACCAGATTTCTGCCCATGAACTCGATGGCCGCGCTGTTGAGGCGGAAAGAGAGTGTCTCCATGATATTGAGGGCTGCCGTGAATGCGATAGGCCCGGACTCTAATTCATTCTCACGTCGTTAAGGAGTTAAAATCTAGTTAATTAGTCAAAATACTCAGTATAAGTCAATCATCGCCAGGATCGAGCCTGTCTTGAAGCATACGTCAAGCCTCTCACATACAGTGGCAAGCTTCTGTGATCAGTCTGACTTCTGTAACAAGACAAATTGACTCGTATGTTTGAAGTCGCCTCAACAACAAGTTTACAGCTCAATACCAAAAAAGTAGAAAATGGACAAAAGAAGAAAAAACAATGGGCGGCCACCGGAGATATGTAGAGCCACCTAAAGAACTCGAACCACCGAGCTTTGCCGAAACCAGGCATACAATCCACCACTAGGCTATCTTGCGACGGTGGTCGCACCCATTGTTGCGGAATCTGGAAGGTGAGTAGGCCATAAGGGAAACAACGCGCCAGTGGCAGGTGCGGTGGACTCACTTGCTTCTGTAGTAGGAACGGCTGCCCTCGCAGAGAAGTGTTTTCACACGCAATCGAGCCCGATGGCTTCTATGAATTTCAAATCATCGAAGGCAGTCAATCTCGGAAATAAAGATGAAGCCAGTGAGAATCTCAACACTACGACCAATATCACCACCCACTTACACTAGAGCTTCGCATCCTCGTCAGTCTCTACAGTCCAAAGTTCAACCCCAAGGCTTACATGGTTTGCAAATATGATCCTGATGACTCGACCGCTGGTTTCATACGGTACTTAAATGAAATTGTGATGCCATTTGCATCGCTAACAGACTATCACAACTGTATTCTTCACGTCGAGGTGTAGTTGAGGTGCGAGCAACGCTACGTACCGACACACCCCGGGCCATGCAAGGGCCATCCCCGCTGTTTAAAGTGCATCAATTCCGACCCCACCAACGCGCCACGGCACGTCGCGTCTCCTCCATCAGCCAAAAATTCCAGCCAGCGTCTAGATTGTCTCGACGTCAGTTTTGCAGCCGCTCTTCCACCAAAATCTGCGACACCATTCACACCTCACATCTCCGACTCAACTGTCGCCGACCAGACCCAGCTACCATCACCATGCCGGTCCTCGAACGCCGCAGGCCGGCCCAGCGCCGCCCCGAACGACAGGTCGTGGACGACGACGACGTCGACCTCCCGCCCTACGAGCCCCTCGCGTGCCCCCTCACAGACCAAGCCAAGCGCGCCATCTTAGAGCTCTCCAACAGCCGCGACGTCCACCGCTACGCATCCCACATCAAGCAGTCCATCTCGAACCTCAGCCAGAGCGTCGCCGAGGTCAACGACGCCACCCGCGACCGCCACGAGCAGCTCCGGCGCATCGCCACGAAGCGTGCCGAGTCGGACAGCAGCCAGGAAAAGTCGCAGCGCGAGGAGCAGGTCGAGGCGCACGCCGCCGCCCTGGACGCCGAGGTCCCCGGTCTCACGAGGGACGTCGAGGCCGCCCTGCGCGACCTGCTCGACAGGCAGGCGCAGGTCGAGGACGACAAGAAGGCGCTGGCGGAGACGGCGGACTACTTCCAGACTCTCCCTGCCGCGCCGGCGAGGGCCCGACGGAGACGGCAGCAGAATGGAGACGAGGACGAGGAGGGAGACACCCAGATGGAGGATGAGGCGCCGCCGCCCGAGCAATCCGTCATCGACACCCTGCGTCAGCACCGGGCCGACAAGGCGCGGGAGTACCAGAACCTCAACGTCTACCAGCGCTACGCCCTCAACAACGACTATGCCGGCTTCAAGAAGCTGCTGCACGACGCCGTACACGGCGACTCGGGCCCCACGCTGCCCAATGCCAAGCGGTGGTTCGACGACGAGGGGAACCCCGTGATGCCTCGTATGGCCGGTGCTGCTCAAAATATTAAGGACGAGGGGGGCGCAGCGGACGACGAGGACGAGGACGAGGACCTGGTCATTGCCGGCGAGATCCGCGATTACAGGTGTCCGTTGTCGATGCAAGAGTTGAAGGAGCCCTTTAGCAACCGCGTCTGCAACCACACGTACGAGAAGCAGTGGATCACGGAGATGTTGAACAAGGCACCAAACAGGCGCGCACAGTGTGTCGTGGCCGGCTGTTCCAAGGTACGTCTGATGAGAATGACACCGGCGAGGCTGAGCATAAACCACTGACATGAGCAGGAATTCGGTGTGGATGACTTTTACGACGACAACGTGATCCTGCGCAAGATGAAGCGCGCCCAGGAGTTGCAGCGGCTCGAAGAGGAGGAGGGCAGCAGCAGTCCAGACGAGGACGCCGATGAAGACGCCCGGCGCCAGGTCAAACGAGAAAGGAGAAAGCGCAAGGTCGAGGCGATTGACGACGATGACGAGTGAGCGCGGGGAGCAAAGGCTTTGACGGTGTGTTTTACAGTATTTCACGATCGAATCACTGATAGGGGCGTTTCGGAATGGGCACGGCACGATACCCATGGTCAATGACATGAGCTTTCGACGACGCATGGTCGATATGCGACTGAAAAAAAACAATGATTCCCGCTTTATGATATTATGCGACTCCAGATCTACTAAGGCTGCCCTCGTCTCATGTGAAGGGTGCCCACGATTACGTCTTCGCCATCCCCTCCCGCGACTGGTGATGTCTTTTTAAGCCCCTGTTGCCGCAACGTCACACGTCGCCAAAGCCACACCCGCGCCCAGCAACGAACTCTCCTTTGCCGGGACGAGGTCGATACTCCTGTCCTCCCTGTTGACAAGTCCGTTCACGTACTCCTGCAGCATCGCCAGGTACCCCGGGTAATGCTCAATCACGCTGCCGTTGTACGCCACCGTGGTCTTCTCCAGACCGCACTCCTTCTCTAGCCGTTCTGAGCCGGCATACTCCACGTCTTCCTCGCCCAGCGCCTCCAGGCGCAGTGCCCAGACCGCATGCAAGCATGCAGCGATGATTGCCGCCGACCTCCTCGACACGAAAGACGTCAGGTCGCGGAGGGCCGCCATGTCAGATGACGTCGGCGTGTGTGATGACGGATGACGCGAAGTAAAGACTTTGATAGATGATGTGAATAGTGGCGACGTATCTCTGTGGCGCATGTTAGCAGACGTTACACGACGCGAAACGTGGCGAGCGTTACCCTTCAACGGCTGATATCGTCTCCGATTTCAAGGAATACGGCTCATCGAGCGACTTGGGCACCATGCCGCCGAAAAGCCCAGTGGTGTTAATGGCCTCAATCAATGCAAACCTCACCATCTCACCCAAGTACATTCCGCTCACCATCTGCTCTAGAGGCTGGAAGTCTGGCCTCGGATGTCCTTGCTTTAATGATCTATCCCAGCGCGTGACGCTCAAAATATCCTGTCCAAACATGCCGAGCTCGGTGTTGACGATTACATCACGGGCCTCGTCCCACCACTCCTGCGGCCGCTCGCCGAATTTTGGTTTTCCGATTACGGACACGGGAAGATGTGCGGCGATGTTGACTCCGGTGCCGAGGATGAGGCCGAAGCGGGTGGCGGAGTGAATGTAGGCTTGCGAGAGGAGGGTGGCGCCGCCGTCGTTGACAATCGCCTTGAGGACGGCGTTCATGCCCTTGGCTTTACACGCGGTCTCGATGACTTCGCCGAGATCCTGGCCCATGAGTCCGTCGGCGGCGAGGAACCCTTTACCCATCCCGTGAATTCGGCCGCCTTTCAGCGACGTTTGTCTGCACCTGATTAGCTTGATATCATACGTGCGATGCGGCATGCTTACTCAATGGGGAAACTCCAAGACACGGCCATGGGCATGGGCCGTGACGGGTCCTCTCCATCTTTACAAATGGTTTCCAGTATCCTTTCCGCCATCCAGTCGAAGAAAGCCATGCCCTCCAGGTTCCTGATGTCGGCATCGATCACAAAGGAACTGAGGCGGACGATCTCGCTCTCGCGACCCTTGGCACCGCGGCCCCGCAATTCTACCAGTGCAACACGCAGGGTCGATCCCCCCACATCCAGCGCCAGATACTGACCGACTTCGTGCCCGGCGGGAAGTTGGTGGTTGTACGACGGCAACATACATGCCATGCTGGTCTGCAACTTGTCCCGAAACTGCGCCTTCAGGGCGTTGGACAGCTCCAGGAGGCCATCGCCGGCGAGAGGGCCCAGCAGCAGGTCCTCGGCCTCCTTCAGGAACTCGTCGATCCTCCGTGGATAGAGAGACGCGGCGGACTTGGAACACTCGACTGTTGACGACGTCCTGGACTGCTTCCCGGAAACGGCCTGAGGGGTGATCCAGAATGCGAGGATGGCTTGTATCAGGGACTTGCCCCGCAGCAGCTGCTTGACAACGGCGGCCAGGAATGATTTCGGGAACGTCATGGCAGGAGAGATTCGGTGCATGACAAGGACCCAAGATTCGAACGAAGGAGATTTGGTGTCGGACGGTGCCGTATCATTTAGCTGACGAGACAATGGCAGGTAAATAAACGGAGCAAGGCACGAGCCATGTCCCCGGAGAGGTGACGGGAGCAAGATGAGTGAGACGGAGGAATGGAGGAAGAGGGAGGGTCGCAGAGATGTCGCAAACGAGGTTTAAACAGCACTCCACGGCGGCCACCAGACGGTGTCGACAGCGGATCGACAGGAACAGGCCGGGGAACTAGGGTGACTGGAGCTCGCACCGAGCAGGATGGAACCTGCCGGGAGCTGGCCTTCGTCCGTCGAGCTGGCCGGTTGGATGTCGTATTGGAGCGCGTTGGCGGTGGACTGAACAGGCACAAGAGAGCGGCGATGGCGAAAGCGACCAACGGCCAATATGGTTACAGGAGGAGAGAGATGGCCGCTAGGGTACGGAGAGAAGGGCCTTGGGGGCACCAGACCATGCGGAGGTCAACGGTGAGAGTGAGACTCGAGCGGGAACCACCAGCCAAGGAGGGCCTCTCGCGTTTCCTCTCCAACGTCGCACAGGCAATGGGGCGACTGACGGCAGTCCTAGGGCATGTTCGTATGGCCTAGTTCGGCCCAGACGCGATAATCCAGTCCACCTGCTTTGGGGGCCGTATGCCGTTCGTCGACGGGGTTGGATGCGGCGGAGGAAGGTGGATGCGAGAGCGTTGTATGGGATGGTGTTTAGGGGGGATGCATGGAAGACTGGATCGTCGGGAGAAGCACAGTAGATTTCGGTGCAACAATCAACTGCTACGAGCCGGCAGTGAAAAGAAACAGAGGCTGCTCTACACCGCAAGACGTTGGGAGCAAGACGGGGGAGTGATGGAACAGCAACAATGAGAGAGGAAGACGAGTGTACGCTGTGCTGAAACGCGGCTACAAAGTGCGCTGCCTGGCCACTGATTGTTACTGCCGTAAGCTATGGACACCCACGTAAAGTACGACGAGCCATTGGCATCTCAGCTAAGGCCAGACCAGACCAGCTTAACCCGTCCGCTGGCATGGCAGGATGTCGCTGTCGCCGCGCGTGGTTGAGAGGTGCAATGCGGAAAGGATGCGTCGCCCCTCCAGCTGTAACGTTGCCTCTGATAGCGAATTCCATTGGAGGGGCACTGTATCCGTCAGGTGGTGGCTGACCAAATCAGACGAAAGCGGACTCATGGAGGGGCTTTCTTCAGCGACCACTCAGGTGTAAGACCTGCTGCTTAGCGCGTGCGGACGGGGACCCTCGGTGGAAATTGTTAAGACCCGCCGCCAGAGGAACATGCAACGACCAACACCACCAGCAAGAAACATTGAACAGGGGTCCTGCTGTGACAGATGACGGAGACTCTGCATCTTCAACAAAGCTGTCGATGCGATCAGCGGCGATGCAGCATTGTCATGTCCCCAGTCCAACATGAGGGGGAACTTCATCAATCTGCTTCTTGTCTCACAACACCGTCAATGCCGAATCATCCATGAACACGTTTCTTGGCGGTCCTCGAACTACATCTCACTCGCGTTGAACGTGTTGAGATAGAAATCGTCGAGAGAGAGCGGGACACAACCACTAACACGAGCCGTCCACCATGACACCTTTTGTATTTCTCCGAGCCAGGCCCAAGTCCCACGCGGCGGGCGGCAAACGGCAAACGGCAAACGGCTCTTATGCCCGTCACGTTGGATCGCCATCAGTAGCCTCGGCTGCTAGTCCCCCACGTCTAACGTATCAGTTGCATGCAAAGCGCAAAATGGTCAGCCGCTGCCAGATCGTACATACATGGCCGTCGTTGTAAAACCAGGGTCTGGCCTCACGGACGTGAACGTGCTGGCCCCCGCCGCGCGCCGACGACGGCCTCGCCACCCGTGCGTACCTTACTATGCAGTAGGTAGCGTCGCGAACTTTCCTGGCATCGAACAGCCTCCACACACGTCTGGGATATCGACCCGACCACCTGGCTCGTCCAACACCCACCACCGCCACACTGACATGCCGACCCCTGCCCGCGGCCGTCGGGCCATGGCGAGTCTAAACTGATGGATGACGATGATGGCCGCCTCTAGAACGGGGGAGTGCTACAAGTGTGCTGCTCACTGCCTGCCAGATTCAAGAGCTCCAGTTATCACAATGGATGGCCACTCTCAACCCTCCGCGGTTCCCGGTCCAGAGCCTCGACATCCAACCACTGAAACCAGGTGACTCGGCCGATACCTGCGACTGGCAACGTTGATAATGGCCCCTCCCCGCGAGCCGGTCACAGTGGGACGGACGCCCGGGTGGTGGGACTTTCAAACACCACCGATAGCAAGTTGCAGTGACGTTCCATCCCTCCACCACAGCGCAAATCTTCAGCAGACTTTCTGGGGGCAGATTGCCGTTGCCGCAAAAAGTCTGTGATGTCAGCTGTGCTGCGACGGGGAACCCCTCAAGGGGGCAGGACGGTTTGAGGGAAAGGGTATGGGGAAAACCGCCCGAACCTTTGGCCACAGTCGAAGCTGAGTTTAGTCCCTCATAAGGATGGTCTCTTCAGCTTGCCTCCCTCGTATCGCTCTGTTTCCCGTCCTCTTCCTCGAGAATAGACATCGACCTCGCCTAGAACCTACCCTCTTCTATCATCCCCTGCGCTTATTTTCACACCCATCCTCGTATCGTCGTTGCAACCTACGCTATCCTCTTTCTGTAGATCCCCCGTTCAAGATGAGGCTGATTATCCGCGACGACGCCGACTCTGCCAGCGCCTATGTAGCCAACTACATCGTCGACAGGATCAAGCACTTCAGTCCCACCCCCGCACACCCATTCGTGCTTGGCCTGCCCACAGGAAGCAGCCCCTTGGGCGTATATAAGATTCTTGTTCAGAGGTACAAGGCCGGAGAGGTATGGATTAAATCTTGCTCGTGCTCTGGATGGGAGGCTGACGGCGTTGTTGATAGATCTCGTTTGAAAATGTCATCACCTTTAACATGGTATGTCTTTCCGTGACGTCCCCGATGCCCTCGCCATCAGCAACCTGACACCATTCAAGGACGAGTACGTCGGGATCCCGAGGGACCACCCCGAGAGCTACCACTCCTTCATGTGGAAGCACCTCTTCTCCCACGTAAACATCCACCCCAACAACGTCAACATCCTCAACGGCAATGCGCCCAACCTCGAGGCCGAGTGCGTCGCCTACGAGGCCAAGATCAAGGCCGCCGGCGGCATCGACCTCTTCCTCGCCGGCATCGGCGAGGACGGCCACATCGCCTTCAACGAGCCCGGCTCCAGCCTCGCGTCCCGCACCAGGGTCAAGACGCTCGCCTACGACACCATCCTCGCCAACTCCCGCTTCTTCGACAACGACGTCAGCAAGGTGCCCCGCCTCGCCCTGACCGTCGGCGTCCAGACCGTCCTCGAGGCCCGCGAGGTCGTCGCCATCATCATCGGCGCGCGCAAGGCCCTCGCCCTCCAGAAGTGCATCGAGAACGGCGTCAACCACATGTGGACCCTCTCCAGCCTGCAGCTGCACCCCCACCCGATGCTCGTCGTCGACGAGGACGCAACGCTGGAGTTGCAGGTCAAGACTGTCAAGGTAAGACAGACCACGCACGCGTCTCGGGAACTGTCCGCTGACACAACACCACAGTACTTCAAGAGCATCGAAAAGGTCGCAAAGGCCGAGGGCTTCGAGCAGATCCTCCCGTCCAAGATCCGCACCGGCCCGGGCCCCATCCCCGTGACGGTCGTCGACGAGGTCTCGACTCCGACAATCCACCACCCTCAACCCACCACCTCCCGTCTCCTCAGGGCGTCTCCCGCCACGGAGTACCCCGTCCGCTCCGTGTCCCCGGACATTGAGCTCGTCTTCGAGAGCATGGAGTCCCGCACAAAGACTCCCTCAGAGCAACAGCTCCGGGCCGTGACGCCCGATCTCGTCACCGACAGGATGGCCAACCGCATTCCGGAGCCGGCCCTCGCAAGACGGCTGACGCCGAACCCCGAGCAGCAGCAGTTGTCCATTTCAAGATCAAACACCCCCGACCTGGTACCCGACCGCATGGCCTCCCGCATCCCCGAGCCGGCGCTTGCGCGGCGATTGACTCCTAACCCGGAGCAGCAGCTGCGGGTGAACGCCGTTGGCGCCTAAATACCGATGAGACGCCGATTGAGAGAGAAGAAGGAAGAATGCATGCCCGGTTGCATGGCAGTAAGCGCTTCATTGATTGTAAGCCAAGCCGTAACTCGCTGCTGCCCAGTCACTCGCTAGATGCAAAGAGCATTGGTTACTCGTGTGATTATTTGATGGGCCAAACAGAATGTAGCATAGTAGAAAGGGCCCAAATTAAAGGGAATCATGAGACATGGATCGCAAGAACGGATGAAACTCGGAGAGGGTGCATAGACATTGTTTAAAGAGAGAAGAGCAGGGCTCGACGTGTACATTACCTTGAAAAGATGAGATGAATGAGAATAGATTGTGGGGTTGAATTGGAGTTTGTGCTGCTACGTATGGTTCTCCAACATCGTGTCATGTGATTGGCCGGAACGAGACCATCACACAATAGCAGCGGTTAGTTGAATCACCCAGCCCAACGCAGGCTGTTGGTGAGTATATTCTTTCTGATCATTCAATGTCACTAGATCCGGGTATAACCACGTGTTCCACCGCTGACTCGCCTTCCTATTTTCCGGGCTGTCCGTATGTCTCGCCCCTCCTTTCTGTACGACCCGGCCTTCCGATAGCCGAGTAGGTGACCCCGATTAGCTTATAATACATTCAAACCCATGAGGTGGCTTCGTTAAATCATTTCAAATAGATCCCTATGAGGCGAATACATGCCGAGGGGTATGAATACCAAGATGGCTGGCAGATACATCCTGTCTAAAATCATCATTATGATTCGGCTGTGAACATGCGTTTGCTCTTGCTGCGTAGTTGCTGTGCCTTGATCTCGGGCGGCACAATTGTGTGGTGAACGACGTGAGGTCGGTAGATGGCTTCCACAGGCGGCATCCTATTGTTTCTTAGTTCCCGTATGCGACGGATTTACGAGAGACTCACCAGTCGTCCACACTGAGTGGAAAGTACTCGTACAGCAAGTCATCCTCTTCTTTGGGACTCTGACTTGTGTTGTGCACGGCAGCCGCAATGGACTTTGTAAACTGCGGGCTCGAAATGTCCGAGTTGGACCTGTTTGGGCTCCTCTCGTCTTCCGACAACGACAGGTTGATGGGGCCCGAGATGCCAGGGCGTGAGCTTGACATTGAAGGCCTTGCCGCTTGTCGCGCGGGCTCTGAAGACCACGCTGGAATCGGTGGCCGAGACATCCCCGGCGACGGCGACAGCGCCAGCTTCTTTGCGGGAGGCTGACTGTTGCTCGTTTCTCTGTACAGCTGAGGCGTGCTCCATTCTGGAGGTTGCTGTGAGCCGTTAGCATCTTAAATCCGTAAGTCGAAGCAGCTTTGCGTACCTGAAGGTTGTTGGGTGGTTGGTATTTTGGAACCGGGGTTGCCATGCCATTGTCCTTGTGAGGCGGAGCAGAGGCAGACGCATCGCTGTTGCTCCTCCTTTCAAGCTTCTTGTCGCCTGTCAGAGGGATGTCTTTGCGACTGTCAAAATTTCTCGGGCTACGGCCTCGCACAATGACGGGGCCAGAGCTGATTTCAGCAATCTTGATGTACTCCCCCGACTGCTGCTTTCCTAAGAGGTTGATCTGCACCAGGTAGTGCTGCTGGAGACCTTTCCTCCTGCCGTTGTTTGCCGTCGCATGCTTGAACTGCAGCCTCTTCCATGACAGCGGCAACGACACTCTGTTCGCGTCGACTTCCTGGCCGTTGGCTAGATCCAGAACAATGTTGGGCGGGCCACCAGACGACTTTGGCTCCTCGGCGCCGATGGGATGCGCGCTCTTCCAGGGTATCGATATAATTTCCGTAATCTTCCCCTCTATGGACTCGATCGCCGTGATGGAGGCGGCAAGCTCGAAAACGGGTATCTGCCGGCCCTGCTCGTCTACGGCGTGGGTAATATGTCGCGGAAGCGTGACCTGTCCAGAGCACTGCCACAGGTTGCGACGGTAGCAGGTAAGCTCGAGCGGGCGGCCGTTGTTCTCGGCGCCAAAGACGTCCTCCGCGACGAAGAACATGCCGTACAGCTCGGCCGTAATCCCAGGTTCCATGTGTTGTCCATTTCCGTCAACGACCGTCGCCTTGAACGTGGGCGCCGAGAAGCCAAGTAGCTTGTTGTCGAGCTCCTGAGTAGGGGAGTCCTGGTTGAACTCGGGGGCAGGCTGCGCCTCGAAGGGTCGGTTCGAATATGCGAAAGGGTCTTCGAAGCCCGTGGCGGAGAAGTCTTCGAATCCGTAGGTGGGAGTGAAGGGTATGGGGGGAAAGGCGCCGTTGACCGTATCCCTGCGACAGCAAACTGTTAGTCGTCTGACTTCTTCCCATCCCAACTGCGACAGGCGCCTCCAGAAAGTTTCCCGCCCGGAAAGCTTACAGCAGAGAATCGTCAAACATGGAGGAATCCAGGCCATCCACGACAGCGCTGTTGAGGCTCATGCCATCGCCAGGCGTCGCGCCGGACGACAATGAATGGAACGCGGCCATTGCATGGTAGGACTGCGCCAGCCGCCGGCAGACGAATTGCGCTCGTCGTCACGATGGACGATCAGAGGTGGCTGGGCGGCCCAGAGGGCGAGTAAACGACGAAGCCCGGCACCGAGTTGTCGACAAAATGAAGGACAGGCACAGATGGGAGACAAAAATGACCCTGCTGCAAAAAAGCAAGCAAGCTGGCGAGTGGGCGTCGAGGTATGTAGCGAATGTCTTGTCCGAGCGACTCTGGATGGAAATGCAGAAGCGGAGGGATCTCTTGTGTCTGGAGCCAACCCACGGGCAGCCGAGTGGACGTGGAGGTTAGGTGGTGGGTGACCTGGACTGGCACCAACCCCTATCAGGCCGCTGGTCTGCCGCCATTGGCTGGCCTGCAAGTCAACGGCTGCAGGCGTTATCGCACTGTGGAGGCAAGTGAGGGGCGCTTAATGGGGTTTGCTCTGGGGGTCCTTTCAACCGCGACTGGGAGCATCCCCAGTGAACCTGCATGGAATGAGGCACCTGGGCGGGGGAGATGAGCTCCACTGGGTACAATGAAGCTCCCTGTAATTGTCTCTGTCTGAGCTTGTCGGCCAGGTTGGAGCAAACATCGCCTCACGCATCGAGATGTCTTCCCACGCATCTGGGCTTACGACATGAGCTCACCACAGTGGTCGAATGTCCTCACTGGGACCGGGTATAAACCAATGATGGCTTGAAATAACGACATCAATTCATATCTGATAATGCCCCAATCCACTCACTCCTTGGCCTTCTGCTCTTCAAAGAGCTTCTGACACTTGGCTGAGATTCCGGGTTGTACCACGCTGTCGGCGTACTCCCAAACATCCTTTATTTGTGACCCGTCCTCGGTGAACTGCATAAACCATGCAAAGTACAGCTTTGTGGACTCCCCATCGATGAATTCGCTGTCGAGGATCGTTGTAGCGGCAGCTGTCTTCTTCCGCACGTCGATGACAACATTGTTGATCTCCGTCATCTTCGTGCTGTAGACCGGGAGGGTGGTGGCCAACCTGGCTTCGTACATCTCATTCCCAATAGCAAGATCAGTCGGGACGCCCATAGCCTGGAGGAATGAGGGGGGCATGAAGTGGCGTTTGCAATCCGGTGTCAAGGTTGTGTTGATGCGTGACGCGTCGTTTTCCTTCGAGGCGTCCTCGTAACCGTTGAGAAACTCGCGTAACGTCTTTTCGATGGTCTCGTAAAGGGCAGTAAGGGGCGCGTCGGAGGTAGCCATGGCGGACAGGAACTGGTTTTAACAACTAAGACGGTCTGCAAGAACTTTGAAAAGTAGCCTTTGCTATCAGGTGGATGGAATAACCAATATTCTTTATATACCCAAAGTGCCGGCCAACAGGAAGGACTTTGGTCATGAACACGTAGCAGTCAACATGTATGCAGGGCAGCGAATGGAATTACAGTCTCCATCTCACATAAGCCGATCCTCAGTTTGCGCTGCGAATGAGGGATAGGTACTGTTCCGAACAGTCCATTCGTAAAGCAATCAGGGACCTATGTGATTATAGAAAGGACGCAATGGTCTGATGATGCCAAAGTCGGCAGATTGAGAGGACACTTACATCATGGCCATCATCTTTGAATCTCATTTATATCATATACCTAATGCCGCCTGCTTATCCCCCAACATACTTGGATAGCAGCTCTATGAATTTACAGTCTATTGGAGGGCTCGACCCTTTCTTTAATCTTGTCTCATGAAACCCCCCTATCTTAACTCGGACAGTCTATGCAATGGGCGACTGGGTCTCCTCCCGGCTCGATACCATCGTTCCCGCCTTCCAAACCTCGTCCACTACGAGCTGAGTGGCGCCGTCTCTTACTTCTTCAGAGAAGATGACCAGATCCGCATCAGCTCCGTCTTCCAAAGAGCCCTTGATGCCTTTGAGGCCGAGCATCTCTGCGGGGGTCGCGGTCACAGCCTTCAAAGCCTTCGGAATGCCGGTGCCGGACCAGCGCAGGAAGTTGTTGACACACTCCATCAGAGTAACGGCACTGACGGTTGTTAGTGGTGCACAATTTCGTAATCTGATGCGGACTGCTCACCTTCCAGCAATTTTGTCGGTGCCCTCCAACAACAGCGTGGATCCGACCTTGACAATGTTGTTGACGTCTTGTCCATTCGTCCACTTGTACGAGCCGTCGGCCAGACCCATCATGTGCATGGCGTCAGTAACCAGGATGAAGCCATCCGGATGAGCGTTGAACGCAATCTTAATGGTGGTCGGGTGCAGATGAATACCGTCGGAGATGATGCCAAAGTATGGCCTCGCCAGACTCTCTGCAATACCCAGGACACCAAAGACACCTGGGTTGCGGTGGTGAAGAGGTCGCATGGCGTTGAAGAGATGAGTAATCATCGTGGCTCCGGCTGCCACCGCGGCCGAAGCCTCTTCGTACGTCGCTTCCGAGTGGCCGATGGAGTAGATGATGCCTCGTTCCCGCAGCTCAGGAATGATTTGTGTCATCCGCCCACGTTCTGGCGCGGCGGTGATCATCTTAATTGGAATGGAGCCGCCGTTGGTGCTAGGCTCGATGTTCTCGGCGCCGTAACATTCGACTAGATCATCGAATGTCTCTGCCTGCTGCAGGACATCGACGTTGTGGATGCCGTTCTTGGTAGGGTTCAGGAACGGGCCTTCGACGTGGGCTCCGAGAGACTCGGCACCGTCATTGGCCACTTGTGAGCCGCCAGATGGGCCCAGGTACGGGAGAGCCTGCCATCGGTCAGTATTCTAGAGGTGTACAACACTGAAGAAGATTTACATTTTGGTAAAGCTCGGGTTTTTGACTGGTGAGCGTTGGGACGTAGGAAGTGACGCCAGTGGCCACCAGTTTCCTGTTGAGCTCCCGGACCTTTTTGCCGTACTGAGACATGTCTTCGAGCAGTGTGGAAAAGTTGAAGCCAAAGGCACCGTTGAGCTGGCAGTCGATCATGCCGGGAGACATGATGCGACCGCCGAGGTTGACGGTCTCATCTGGTAGGAGGAGGTCATCGAAGAAGGCCGCCTGGCTGTGAATGATTTTGCCCGTGACGGAGCTGACCCAGATGTCTTCCTGCACCAGGGCATCGCCTTTCACGAGGCGGCAGTTTGTGAATTTCGTAATGCCATTCTTGGGCGTCTTGGGAATGGCGATGGGCATGGTGTCAGACTGGATGGTGTGCGCTGATTTGTTGTTGTTGGGCAGAGGGAGAGCTGGCTGCAGGCTTAATCTTCAATATCGACGCCATGAACAGAGCCGAAACCAAAGGCAGCGCTGGGCAAGATCCGGGTATTATTCACGGGCACTGCAGGGCGCTTCTGCAACCGGAGCGGCGAAAGGCAACGGTGCCGGCATGGCCCGGCTTGCATGGAAGTCTCGTGGGTTCCAGGGCGTTGGCAACCTCGTCATGGCCCCTCACAGTCACAGAGAGTTGGCCACCACACATGGTGGTATGAGATAGGACGAGTGTATCGACGGGCAATCGCATCAACGTGCCGTCGGTGGGGGATGGAGCGTTGGAGACACTGGACTGGGCACGATAGTCGCCCGTTGCACCGCGAGGTGCCTCTGGAACCCCTCCGAGTCAGAGACTACTTGACCAACGGCCGGTCCACATGGGCAAAGGACTCGTTTCTGTTGCTTTGTTTCACTCGCAAGCACCCAAGCACCGGCGCACACCATTGCTTTGCCTCCCAAGATTCCAGAATCGGAGTAGGGCCCCACACTGACGGAGGGGGACTGAGGCGTGGGACCCAGGACGAGACGGACAGAGACAGACTGTCACCGTCGCAGACACAGACACACAGACTTTCGGGGCAGACGGGGAAAAGAAGGTTTGACGTGGTGAGGCTCCATGTAACGTTCCGTTGTCGAGGCCGATGATCGAGACGCTAACACACAGAAATGGATCTCGAATCACTCGGTACGTACCAGTCCCACATCATCCGCCGCGACCGCTGGCCCGTGCGCGAATCGGCCAATCGATATCCCCGCCCTCCGGCAGCCAATCAGCATCGGGCCGTGTGTCTGGCAGCGCAAGCCCGGACCACCCTCCCGCGCGGCGCACATGGCGTCCCACACGCAGGTGCACCACCACTCCTCCACGTCCGCGCTCTCTCGGACGACGCGCGATGGCTCCGGCTCCAGCTCCAGTTCCAGTTACAGCTCCAGACACCACCAGCACCCGCACTCGCGACCATCCATCAGCAGGGACTCAACGTCAACGTCGGAGAAGGGTCGCCGTTACCTCTCCCCATTGAAGGCACCTCGCAGTCTCGAGAGGTACTATGCACGTCAAAACGTGACGAGTCGCAGACCGCTCTCCACGGCCCAGCTCAACATGGAGCTCGACCCACTATGGCAGGATCTCGATTGGTACGTCTCGTCTTCCTCGACCCGCCTGCTCTTGTGTGCTTCTTCTCTCCAACGTGAAGATTCCGCCTGAACCCTCCGTCCTCCGCCCTGCCATCCGGTCCCGTCTCCCCATGTCGTCTTCCCTGTCGCTTGGTCACTGTTGGACCTTCTAGAAGCCTGTCACCTTGACTCTATCCCAATTCGCTCGCTGACATGTCCTCTCACTCCGTTCAGGGCCATTGGCCAGATGCTCATCATGGGCTGGGATGGCACCGAGGTCACGCCCCAGATCCGCTCCTTGATTGAGGACCACCATCTCGGGACCATCATTTTGACGGCCAAGAACCTCAAGAGTTAGCACTCCCTCCTGTCCTATAGCTCTCCCTACTTGCCGGATGGTTGATTGTAGATCCATGCTGATCCCTTCCAGCGGCCCAAGAGACGGCCAAGCTGGTCCAGGAGCTTCAGACTATTGCTCACAAAGCCGGTCACCCGAAGCCTCTGCTGATCGCCTTGGACCAGGAGAATGGGGGCGTAAACAGCCTGTTTGATGAGGACTATGTGTGCCAGTTCCCGAGCGCCATGGGCGTGGCGGCCACGGGGCGCGTCGATCTAGCCTATGAAGTGTCAAAGGCTACTGCGACTGAAGTTGGAGCTTGTGGCATCAACCTTATGCTCGGCCCTGTTCTAGACGTCCTGTCGAACGCCAGGTACCAGCCAATCGGTGTCCGCGCCACGGGAGACGACCCCCAAGAGGTCTCTCAGTATGGCATTGCTGCCATCAACGGCATTCGCGACGCCGGACTAGCTTCGTGCGGAAAACACTTCCCTTCGTACGGCAATCTGGACTTCCTCGGTTCGAGCCTGGAAGTTCCCATCATCACTCAGACCCTCGAAGAATTGAGCTTGAGTGCTTTGGTACCATTCCGCAATGCCATTGCGACCGGTAAGCTCGACGCCATGTTCGTCGGGGGATGTGGCATCTCGAACCCGTCTATGAACGTATCGCATGCTTGCCTATCAAACCAGGTTGTGGACGATCTCCTACGGGAAGAGCTGGGTTTCGATGGAGTCGCCATCTCTGAGTGCCTCGAAATGGAGTCCCTCGCACACGACCTCGGCGTCCAGAACGGTGTTGTCATGGCTGTCGAGGCTGGCTGTGACCTCGTGCTACTGTGCCGAGCCTACGATGTCCAGCTGGAAGCCATCAAGGGGCTGAAACTCGGAGTGGAAAACGGTATCTTTGCCAAAGACCGGATCTTCACTTCTTTAAAGAGGGTGCTGCGGTTGAAGGACACTTGCACGTCGTGGCAAACCGCTCTCAACCCCCCTGGCATCTCGCTTCTGTCCAAGCTGCACCCCAGTCACATGGCTCTCTCGAGGAAGGCATACGACGACTCTATAACGGTTATCCGAGATAAGGAGAAGCTCTTGCCTCTGTCGCAGTCCATGCATCAAGAGGAAGAGTTGTTGCTCCTCACACCGCTTGTAAAGCCTTTGCCGGCGTCGAGCTTGACAAAGAGCATCCTCCAGGCAAAAGACGCTCAGATGCTTGCGCCCACGGCTCACGATAAGTGGTTGCACAGGGAAAAGGGCGCCATCATGAGTGGAGAAGGCGTCTTTCGAGAGTTTGGGCGTTCTCTGGCGAGAGCTCGACATGGCAAGCTCCTACATACCAGCTATACTGCGAACGGAGTCCGGCCAGGTAAGTCGATAGGCTCGAGACTGCTTTCCCAGCTAATGAGAATAGTTCACGAGAACCTCATCCACAGAGCCTCTTGCATCATCATCGTGACTGCCGATGCCAACAGAAATCTGTATCAAGCTGGCTTCACTAAGCACGTCGAGATGATGTGTTCTATGTTGCGCACGCGCGGCCAGAAGAAGTCGGTCATTGTCGTAGCCGTCAGCTCACCATACGACTTCGCCATGGACAAGTCTATCGGCACTTACATTTGCACGTTCGACTTTACCGAAAACGCCATGCATGCACTGGTCCGCGCTCTATGCGGCGTGTTCGTGCCCAAGGGGACGCTTCCCGGGACACTGCGAAAGAGCAAGAAGGTCCTCAAATCCCGGCAGCATTGGATCGTTGAAGAATTCGACCGCGAGCGAGACACCCAGGGGCTTGAAGAGCTCATCAAGGCAGTCGCTCGCGCAAACACCATCGACTTGGGCCACCTGGAGAACATGCCAGCCGGATGCTTCGAACTGTTCAACAAGGACGTCGAGGAGGCGCACTTCGTGGTCAGAAACAGCAGCACGCATGCCCTGTACGGCTTTGCAGCGACCTACTTCCTCGAGGGCATCGGCATTCTCGGCGCCATCTTCGTGGACCCGACGAAGCGGAACGTCTCGGTCGGGCGCTCCCTTCATCGACGAGCTCTGCGGTACCTGACCGGCAAGCGGGGTGTGAAGAAGCTGCAGCTGGGCACGACGTTCCCCGGCATCTTCCTGGGCATCCCGATTGACGAGGGCGGAGTGAAGAACTGGTTCGCCAACAACGGCTGGGATGTGCAATTCCCGAAGCGGCTGACCAATCTGATCATCAACGATCTGAGCAACTGGATCATCCCCGAGGGCCTGCTCCAGAGTGTCCAGCGGGCCAACCTGAGCTTTGATCTCATTCACGGTCTCGACAATGCCGATTTAGTGCTGGACCTCGTCAACACCCACGCAAACCCCGAGGTCTTGGAGCTGTATAGGTGTGCGTTGCAGGAGACCAAGGCATGCGGTATCGTGAGAGCCAAGGGTCCCGGAGATGCGATCTTGGGTACCATCATCATCTGCAGACCAGGCAGTCCGCTGTCGAACTTCATCCCGGCCCTTGTGCCGATTGGGGATGAGGAAATAGGAGGTGTCCTGGCACCCGTCGTTAAGTCGGGGTTGCAGGACACTCTCGTGCTCCAGGGGCTGACTCTGATGGGTGTACGGCAGAACAAGGCACACAAGTCTGCCAAAACGGTGCTCAGTTGGGTACGTAAACCCTCGAATGAGTGGCCCACACGTGTTAACGATGTACAGGTACAAGATGACTCTTACGAACACGTCATGGCAATGGGATTTGAGATCATGCAGGCATACGAGGAGGTCACGAATGCGCCAGATAATGTGGGTTTGCCCTATATGAGATTCCATGAGACTGGCTAACATATACACGCAGTGGACTGATTTGAACTAGCCTCTTGCGCGAAATTTCATGGGAGGCTCAGGATGATGCGGTATACCCTTTGGTGACATTGCGTCATCGGATTTTGGACAATTTGCTCATATCAGGATACCTACGTTATATAAAAGATCTAGCTGGGAGATATCTCCAACATCGAGGCGTTTACGAGGTCCAATGATGTTTCTCAGACCTTGATTGCCGGATTGTGTTTCTTATATGGACAACTCCGTATTTGTCTCAGTACTGAGATTAGTATCCATGTGCTTACCTCTTGGTTATTGCGATTCGGGACTTGGTCTCCTTTTCCTTGGTCCCTTGCTGCACCTTGTACCTCGGATACTCCTCTCGTTCCATACAGGAGCGAACGGACAAACACGACCCTTGAAGTCGTACTGCAGGGTTGCACTCCGAGATCCGGGCATCAGATCCATTCGAAGGCTTCCAGAGGCTCGATTGACATGGCTCGGGTGAAGCTGCAAGGAAGCGGTGCCTGCATGGTGATCCAGCTTACTGGACGACATGTGTCATCCACGGGTTCTTGCCAGATTCTTAGATCCTCAGGTCTGGGCCAGCTGGCTGCGTTCTCGGATGGCCTGATGGCTCAATGGTGGAACTCGCTTTCGGAAGTTTTCAAAAT